CCTAATTCTAGATGGTGGAGCAGCTCTTGGAGGCGGAGGGGATGTGGGTGGGGGAGAAGATTAGGGTTTATCTGAAGAATCAAATGAGAGAGATCGGGAATGACCTTATTTCCCAAAAACTGCATATTAGCCTATTAAGGGTAAATCAGTCATATCACATGGTCTCAGGGGGGTCTGACAAATTAAGATCAAAATTTGGGTTTTTGACTAGGGTAGAAAAAATCATTGGGCCTCCTCATATATATTTTGAAAACTAGGGGGTTATCACTCATTTACCCTAACATTTAACACAATGATTATCCTAAATATAAACATTTTTATTTTATTTATTTATAAAAAGATAAATACTAGGAAAATAATTCCAGAAACAAAAAGTACGGAACTGAAGAAACATTAAAAATCGTGCCAACTGTACAACACTCACTATATAACACCACTCCTTTTCTCTTTCTTTATTAATAAATCTCACTCTCACAGGCGATCAATTTTGTTCAGTAATGGCGACTCCAGGCGGCCGGCAATTGCCTCCGAACAATCCAATATCGGCTTCTTCTGTAAAATCTACTCTCAAAGCGTACTTCGTTCCGCTTCTTCTACTCGCGGCCTCGATTTTCTTTCAGCTTGTCGTCGTCCCGCGTAATTTTCCACCATCGTACTACGACGGTACCAAATTACAACCTTATCATTCACTCTCTCTCTCTCTCTCTCTCTCTCTCTCTCTCTCTCTCTCTCTCTCTCTCTGTTCTGAACTAAATTTTTTGTTTGTTGATGTGTAATGTGTTTCAATTTTGCTGTGGTTTTTTCAGTTTTGGGGATTCCGAAGTATAGTTCCATTGAAGAAGTGACTCGGGCCTACGAAAGGATCACCTCCGAATGGTAATTGATTACAGTTTAAAACCCTAATTTAATTTGTTTCTTACCCTAATTATTCACTTGTTATTGTTAGCGTATTTTGCTATTTTCTATTACTCCAGTTTTGGAGAAGAGTTTACAATGGGGAATTTGATAGGTAGAGATTTGCCTTTATATATATAAAAATGGGGGATACTTTTTTCCCGGAGGACTTATTGAAACTACTTGTGATTCAATTTCATGGGGTTTTAGCTAGTAATAGAAGAACCTCGGAGCTGAAAGATAAACACATTAGGAAACAGTGCGTTTCTGCCGAGGAATTTACTTAAAGTATCTTGGCTGTGTGGGCGAGAGAATCAGTATCGACATAGATGTGGTTCTCGATATGTTAAACGTAGTCCCTTTTCAATGAATTGTAGATACTTAGATGATAAAAAAGCTATCTTTCTACAGAGTAAGATGTTTTCCTTTGCGAAAAGTTTCTTCAGTTTCAAGTGGCTGTCGTGTTCTCGTTGGTTATTTATTCAATATGGAAGCAATAAAATGTATAACCATCTCAAACTCCTCAGCTTGCAGTCTGTTAAGTTGTTATGCTGCAAAATGGCGGGACTTTTACACAAATGGTTAAAAGTAAGGTTCGAGATTCTACAAGTATGAGGTCTTGGATTGAATATTCATAAAACTACATTGATTATGGATATTTTATGTTATCGTTTGCTGTAATTAATTGATTATAGGTTAATGTACTGAATCAATTATTGTTACCATTACGTAATGACATATTTCAAAACTTCACATGAAAAAAAAGATAAAAATTTAGTCCACCCCACATATTTGTATTTTTAACGTTATCATTATTCAGGAATTCAAGTGTTGAAGTTCCTCCAACAGTAGATCTTATCAAGGTCTGTAAACTATCCCTACTTTATTATTTATTTTGCTGCAGGCCGATCTTTATCTGTTTAATCTTTTTTAGTTTATTACATTCATAATATAGTGGATATTTGATGTAATAAGACTTTCAAATAATAATTGTCTAATTTTTTCATTCAAACACTTCATGTATGAATTTTCTACATTGTGTACTATAACATGGAAATAAACATCATAGAAACACTCAGATCTTGCGGTGAAATGAAAGCATAATTGATATTGGTTTATATGTATTATCTCTCAGAAAATAACTCCACAAAACAGACTTCACCATTATAATATTTGATTCTTTTAAATTAAATATTCAGGAAAATCTTCTTATTGCAACCAAAATATATAATAGAATGGTTAATAGTGCTTAAGATGGTTGGTTTTGCAGGTTCAATATGCTTATGAGCTGCTGACAAATCAGATATTGAAGAGAGATTACGACATATATAATATTGATGAACATCTTGTATGATTCTTGGCTATCCTTCTATTTCTAATATAATATTGTTGCATCTAGATATTATTAATTCTGAAAGACTGTACCTTGTCATTTCTGCTTAATGTCATTCTCCATAATGCTTTGTCATATTTAATTTGATGCTCTATTTGACTCCTGTCTGCTCTATAGGATGTACTTGAGAATGTAAAGGAGCATCACTCTGGGAAGCATCTTTCCGAAATTGACCTTCCATTGATACGCGATGCTTCCTTTGGTTAGTGTAAACCCTTCTATTTTACACGACGTGTTGTTTTCTTCGTTTTATCTCCTTTAAAAATATAAATCTTTTGAGCATGCTTTTCATACTTACATGTGTTTTCTGTTTAATATTCATAACAATGCTTTCTTATACCCGTCTTCATCATCTTAGATCCTATAGATCAAGATTACGAGTTTATCAACGCCGGGAACTTCTTATCCAAGTTTGAAGATGACAAGGCATTGCTACTTCAGGTGTGTTTTTCATATTTCTACCAATAGATTAATCTTAAATTTGCGTAGGTACTCTTCCACGTTTGTAGAGGCTTTCCACATTGATCTGAGTAGTGTATTTTTATGCTAACTTATTACTCCCTCCTTCCCTTAATATTTGTCACTTTTGTTATTTTTTCATATTTCAAATTATTTGTCATTTCACTATTCCAATGAATAATTAATTGCAATTTTTTCAATTTTGCCCTTTCTCACTCATAATTAATTAAAGTATAATTATTTAAAAATCAATTAATGACATGGGCATTTTAGTAATTTACTATACTTTTTGCTACTATCTATGCATATTTATTGAGTTTCTTAATATGTGTGCAACTAACAAAAGTGACAACTATTGAGGGAAGGAGGGAGTAAAAGCTAACAAGAGGAGGGGATCTTTAGAATACTGCATCTTTATCCACCGTACAACACATTGACTCAGTTATATACAAATCAGAGAACAAGAGAGAAAAAAACAATGATAAACTGATCTCTCTAAAATGTAGTTTAATCTCACATATCAATCTAGATGTGTCAGGTCTGGCGGTTCAATGGTCAGAATCGGAGGTTAAGAGCCTATTTTAGGATATTTTTGATCCCAGCTGGACGGTTTTTAATTTGGATAAAAAAAATTAACCAAGATATAAATCTAGTAATTTTTAGAACTAATTTAAAATTTTAAGTTAAACATGAAAAATATTGAAATTTAAATTTTGTGAAGGGCATGGTTCAAACATAGACGTTGATCCCAATACTCCGCAATAATCTCTCCTAATGAGGGTTGTCTTTTGAGGCCTCATTTGGTTGTTAAGATAGGATTAACCAAGATAAAATAAAATAATCTAATGAAACCCAATTATATTATTGGACCATGGAAGGTCCAATAAAAAAAGCTCCCTAAAAGGCAAGAGAAGCCATGATAACATAACTTTTCCGAGTCGACCCGGGAAGTTATTGGTATACCAAACATCAAACAAAGTCCAATTATCTTAATAATCATGGCTAATCTCCCCAACCAAACGAGGCCTGAGAATGCTAGGATATCCAATCCTGGAAGTGAGTCATCACACTTCTTTATTACTACCCATGGCTTTGATGCATTTCCCAGTTGACAAAAACTCAACTAGTATATGTTCATGTTTTAACATGAGGAGAAAATTCAGACACGAGAGTTGAAACTGGAGCTAGTTTTCTTCGATGGGCTCGTCAGGTTTCTAGTAATGAGAACCAACCATGACAAACTTTTCATATTAATTGTGCATACTCGATTCTTCCATCCGTAGTTTAAATCTTGATAATTGCTTACAACTTCCATATTTCCGTAGAGTAGTTAAGGTTTTTTCCTTGATTGTTTCTATTTTAACCAAAGTCAAAGTGTTGATAACTTTGTTTCTTTAACCTACCTGCATCTTTTGCAGATCACCTGTAAGTAGTGAAAACGGTTAAAATATATTTGATCCAATTGGTTGTTTCTTTAACATTTCTGGTTGTTGTTCTTAGTGTTCTTTATTGCTAACAGAATTTGTTACTGTTCGGAGATGCTTTTTGTTTCTTATATTCTATTATCTGATCTGCTACAGATAGTATCATCTGGAAGCAACCGCTGTGCTCAATTTTCGGAAACATGGAAGAGAATTGGTGAGATGATTTCCAGTAACATATGGATTTTACCATATCAGACTTCTTTGTTAAGCTGCATCTTTTTTTATTTATTATTTAGTGAATTTGCTGAAGGGGGTTTCCAATATTGGAGTGGTTGACCTCAGTGACGTTCAGCTTTCCGTATACCTGGCTGAGAAAAAATCCAGTGGAAAACCTTTCTTTAGAAGCGGTAAGAATAACATGTTCATTTGCTGATTATGCCCTTCTTATTCATTCAACAATCCCTAGATGGCGATGCTATGTTACACTTTATAAACACTTCCGAATCTCTTTGACAATACTTACAAGAGGAAGATAGTATACTGGATTAAGAAAATCATCAAGATTTTCTCTTGTTGATTACTAATGCATACTGTACGTAACCGAAAGGCATTTTATTAATACGTTTATCTGTATATGCCTCTTAATTATACATAGTAAAAAAAGATGCAAACTATGATTGTTTTGCTTTTATTTTTCTTGATATTTGGTTTTTTATACTGAAATTTTACAGGAGTTCCAGCACTATTGGCTTTTCCACCTGGGTGTAAAAGTTCAAAATGTCTTCATAGGTGTGTGTCCTCTTCAGATGAGTTCTTTCATACTTAAAAATACTGCGAATATTTTTCATTTTATTTTTTGAAAATGCAGGCTTGAATGATTTTCTTCTTACTAGGTACGAGGGTGAGCTCTCTGTTGATGCTATCACAGACTGGTTAGCGACGAACATCCTCAATTTACCTCGAATTCCTTATTACTCGAAGGAGTCATTGGTAATCCATTAGATTCACAGCATTGCCCTTTTAATAGTGATTTTAGATCATGCTACTTGCACAGTGACCTAAGCATATAGGCTCCGTAAAATATTTATCTAATTTACCTCAAGTTCTAAAATATTCAATAATTTAACCCGAATTCCATTTTCAGAAAAAAATCATTGGGGAATCTTGTCGTTATTTAAGTACATTAGTACTTGAATTTCAGATTTTCTTATAGAAGTACACGAGTTTAAACTTTTAGCCCACAGGTGTACAAGACGAAATGGGTTGTAGATATGTACAGTAAAACCGTATTTCGCAGTATTATAAAAAATGGAACATGATCTAGTTTACGACGTCTTTAAAACAGAATCACAATAGCTCTTTGCCTAATAATCTTTGATCTGAACTTGTGTTAACTCTGGAATCTACATAAAATGTGCTTTCATTTATATATGCGGATTCTTTTTTAAACTAGCAGAAAGTTGCTGATAACAATTCGTGCACAAACCACGTGTTTCAGTTGGAGGATTTCATTTGCCTAATAAATTTTGTAATTGTTTATGTTGATCTAAATGTTTAACGCAGTCTATAATAAAACTCTATTGTATATTTTTTCAATAACCCTGCAAGATTAGGTTTGTTCCCTTTGAATTTTACTCTATTTGTGTGTATGGTTTTCTTTATCATCTAATATTAATTTCCACTTATTTACAGGTGCATAATTTTCTGGTCAAGAGTAAACCTCATCTGGTATAGTCTGATCTCACCTATGTCTGCTTTTTTTTTTCTTTTTAAATAAATTTTCTATTTTCCTTTACATTCATCATAAAGAGTGTGATCGGGATTGCTTGCTATTAGGAATGTTTTGGTCCGTTTATTGTTAAACTTTATAGGACCCAAGATTATGATTTTTATGATGTTGACTGTAGAATACTATATGCTACAAGATGTATTAATCGGGATTTTTTTGCCAGATTACTTAAATTGCCAGAGTATAATTTCCTTAATACTTGTTTTCTTGTAGGTTAAAGTAATTTTCATCTCGAAAAGTGGAGAACGTGCTACTCCCTTCATTCGTCAGGCTGCAAAAGACTATTCACCATATGCAACTTTTGGTTTTGCTCTATGGAAAGAGGAAGAATCTACTTTTTGGTGGAATGTGTATGTGCCGCCCTGCATAATTTTTTTGTTTTCCTTTTTTCTCTGTTTCTGAAGAGGTCCTTTAGCTATGCCTCAATTCTGCCGAACATTGGCATATGGAGATTACTTAAAAGGGTTAATTACACTTACCTTCCCTAAGGTTACATATAATTACACCTAGGTCCTTCGAGTTTGAGACACAACACAAACCTCCCTTGAGGTCTGGCTCTAGGTAACTTTTAACCTCTTATAGTTGTTGACTTGTCGGAAATTTCCTTTTTACCCTTCACCAAATATTAGATAAATTACACCAGCCTACCTTGAGTTTTGGTCTAATTACACAGAAGCCCCTTGTGTTTGGAACATACTAGCCAGACCACTCTTAAGGTTTAATTTTATCTAAAGAAACACAACGTAAGCTCAGTAAATAATATTATTTATTTTCACCAATAGATTGTTTTAAAGAAAAGCATTCAAAAATTATTAATATTGAAGGAAAATTTGCTCCTCTGTATCTAAGACACTAAAATGGCCTTCTTCACCACATGTCGTCTCCTTAACCTTTTTACTTCGACCTTCACCAGTTACCACCTTAACCTTTTTACTCCATTACTTATAAACAGTCCCGTCGTTGGCAAGCAAGATTGCACTTGATTTCATTAAGAGATTCAAATTGACCATTCACGCCCTTTCTTGTGTTACAATGTTGATTTAAATTTTGACGATTTTATATTTTCTATCTAATAGGTTTGGTGTGGAATCTGCTCCCGCAATAGTATTTATGAAAGATCCTGGAGTTCAACCTGTTGTTTACCAAGGCATGCACCTGGTTATTTTCGTACTCGTTTACTTAGATAAGTCTTAATTCGACGGGTACAAGGCTACAAGCTAATAAAACTCTTTTTTTTTTTTTCCAGGATCAACCAATAGTTCAATGTTTATAGATATTATGGAGAAGAACAAACATCATGGTACAGTTTTGCCTTTTCTATACCTAAAATCTATTGCATTTGATGTAATATGCTGAAATTACACTTGTTAAAAAACATTCTCGTGTCAAAAAGAAAAATCTATTTGTACATAATCGCGACACTTTTCAAAGAAGTGAAACTTGTGGAACTGGATTTTGTTTGAATCTCATGTTATGTAGCTTTTTTCAGTGCTTCCTCAGTTGAGAAATGCGACTTCAATGGAGTTGGGTTGTGATGTACAAGGCTATTCACGTGCTGGAATTGATACCAAGATATGGTACTGTGCTCTTATTGCTGGTAGACCAAGCCAAGAACTCAACAAAATGCGTGAAGTGAGCTCTTCTTCTTTTTTCTTTTTTTTTTTCTTTTTTTTTTTATTTGTTTATGTGAATTACATTTATGTTGTGTTATAGATTTACGAATGATGTTGTGTCTAGAGATAATGATTGATCGGGAATGGGTTGGGGTTACCTAAACAAGGGACCTGACTCATAAAAAAAATATAAAGAAAAATAAAAAAATGAGAGTTAAAACTGATTCTCTCGGTGTTTACTTAAGATGTTATTGATTGACGACTTGGAAAGTTATGTAAATGACATGTGTTTAAAGACCATGCGCAGAGTACAAGAGACACTTTCGGGTAATGGGAAGATAGACGACATAGTTGATCAAGACCCCTTATCAGCTCCAGCAGCGTTAGCACATGAACAAAAGCGACTTACATTCGCGTGGCTAGATGGTGAAGCACAGCATGTGAGCCTTTCATCCTTCTTTTGTTATTTGTTCGTCTTTACTGTTTTTACTGTCCCGCTTTTCGGTAGAAATTAGATATAATGTGATTTATCTATTTGGAATTATGTTTGGTGTAACTAGACTAAATGTCTTTCCCATGCAGAGGTATTGTTTCTTCCACATCCATTCAGAAGATAGCTACGAGACGTGCGGACCTAGGAGGGGTATGACAGATGTCGCTCGTTTATTCGTCGTGCGTTATGAGATGAATCCTAAAGACGAAAAGTTAGATACCCAAAAACAGACAAACAACATCTTCAATGCTTTGCATCATACTGAATCTGATCCTGTATCCACACTTGTTGCCAAGTACAATGGCTCCACCGATACTTCAGAGGTTAGGATTCCTTATAAGCATATAATAGCTTCTTTCAAACCCCAAGTTTGTGAAATAATTTCAATTTCTAAATTTGACGAAATGATATTTATGTAGATTATTTAGTCGTTCTTATTACTTGCTTGATGGATTTGATCACAGATCATACGGTGGATTTCTCAAATAATTAAAGACGGTGACTCCAGAGAAATTCCTCCTTTTGTAAGTAACGTTCTTACACGTAACTAAAAGTATTTTTTTAATCTGGTATTTTTCCTGTCCAAGATTTTGTCTCTTATTAGCAGAATATGTAGTGAACTGATGTTTATTTCTTTAGAAAATATTAATAGCGCGTCGGAGTAGGCTGATGTGTATCCCTCTTATCTATTCCTCGTGTCTTTAAATAATAGTAGGGTGTTAAAAAAGCAATAGCGCAAAAACTTTCTTGGTTATTTCAAGGTAAATTGCAATGCCTGAAATATGATTTATTTTTCTTGCAGAAGACGAAAGCTCCGGAATTGGTGCCTGAGGATTCAAGCCATATTTGGTCGAAGAGTTCGAAAAAGTTTATTTCATCGGGGAAGAATGTGAAAAGTTGGAGCAGTGGATTAATATCCAGTTTATCTAATCAAATTGGTGATCCAAGAATCGGACCATCTTTGCTTTTGGCAGCTTTGATGTCATTTGGTCTGATTTGGCTCAACAGTAGCCGGTCAACTCAGTCCAGTAGCCAAAACGAAGCTAATCAAATAAAGGTACCGATCAACAAATGCATGACCCCTTGAATTGTGATTTTATCTTTCAATTGGGTTTACTGCATTGAATTATATATTCCTGTGTTTTAGATTAGTTTAATACGATTCTACGTGCCCTACAGGATGAGGATAAACCGAGTCGAAGGAGTCGATCAAGAAGTGGTGCAAACCAGCTTTTCCCTCCTTCACTCACTGATTCTGAGCCAAAAGATGCACAACAACTACCGTTATCAGATTCTGATTCAGAATAACCGACTAGGATTCGTAGAAAACGCCTCCTTTGTTTTATTTAATTTAGAATTGACTTAGTGAAAAACGAATTTGAGCAGATTGAATGTTCACACGAGAACCAGTCCAAGAGGCAAGAACACATCAGAGATTGCAATTGAGTTGTGGTCATTTTTACTAGTTGTTTTTTCTTGCTATATTGGAATAATAAAGTTGTACATCTTCAAGTAAATTGCAGCAACTTTGCTAGTTTAGATTCTACTTTTTGAAAATATTTCGAAGATTCCCGAATGCGTGGAAATCATAATGGCGATCAAAGGTTAATTTGACATCATTTTTGAATTGGTTCTCTGCAAAAACCACCCCTGTGTAATTTCGAATTGTCAAAAAAACCTGTGTTAAAAAAATTAACACAGAACCCGCTGGAAATTAGTCAAAGGCTAAATTGAAAGATGTATCCCAAACTTGGTGAATAACAAATTTAGTAAATTAAAGATTTACTCCAAACTTTTCCCAAGTCCAAGACGAAGTTTTTAGATTTTTCAGTTAAATCCTTGACATTTTCAAAAAAAGCCCTCTCTCCAAATCGACCAAAGGTTTTATATTTTTCGTATGACCGTGGTTCGTTAATTAAGCGCGATCAAGATCTCACTTAAGCCTTGATGCCTATCTGCTAAATTGCAATTGTTGAAACAAGAAAAAAAAATGAATAAAAAGTTGCTACTCTTTTAGAGGTTTTTTTCTTTAAAGAAAATTGTCTCTTATATATTTTTTTTTCCTCAAGGACTTGTAGCAAAAGGAAAAATACATTATAATGGACTTTTAACCAATTTTTCTATTTTATTTTCTTAATAAACATAGGGTAAATTACAGCCATAACTGAAGTAAGGTTAAATTACAAAAAAATTATTGGTTAATTACAGTCACCCCCTCAATTATAATTTTCTTACACGTTCACCCATGCGATGTGAAATTTAGTGGGATCTTCTAAATTGTATGGAATATTCTCCAGTTTGTAGGGATGACAATGGATACGGGTTTGCCGGGTCTTAGATCAGGAACCGACACGTATGGGACGGGTCTGGGTAAGTTAAATGGTTTTGGGTCGGGTAATAGATCAAGTTTTTAGAACTGGATGGTTCTGGGTCGGGTTACGGGTCTTAGACTCGGAACCAACCCGTTTGGAGCGAGTCTGAGTAAGTTAAATGGCTATGGGTCGGGTTACGGGTATTATTGAACCGACCCAGAACCGAACCGTATGAATATATTATATTTTATAATTAATCTATATATAAAAATTAATTTATGATTTTATTTATCAAACTTTCAATTTTCATCGTGACTATTCTCATTTGCCCCTTTTTCACCGATTCATTTTTTTTAATCTCATTTCTCGTAAGTAAAATCTATCACTTTTCAACCACCGCTAGCCGTCTTACCTTTTGGACTTTACTTATCGTAGAAGTTAAATATAATTAATTATATGATTTTATTATTCACTTTATATAACTTGAAGAAGTATTTTGAAATAGGGTAAATATCATTTAACCCCCTTGTGATTTGGACATTTTGCACATGACCGCCTTATGGTATGAAATTAGGCATATAACCCCCTTGTGGTTTGGACATTTTGCACATGACCCCCTTATGGTATGAAAGTAGGCACATACCCCCTTGTGGTTTTGAAATTTTGCATATGACTCCTTTATGGTAGGAAATTAGCACATAACCCCCTTGAATAGAAAATTAGAAAAAACTATATTACCCATGTCAAGTCAAAAGTTCTTGTTTTAATTTAAAAATAATTATTCTATAAAATGAAAAGCTTAATGTATTTTTTTGTAAAATGAGAAATATAATATATTATTGTGTTTTTTTTGTTTTTTAATTTTACAGCACAAAAGGTATATTATACTAGTTATTGTACGATTGACAATTTATTCGATTTTAAAAATCAATTTGAAAATCTTTAACATTATCATTAATTATGATTACTATATTACTATTTTCTATATAATATATTATATTATAGATGTGATCGAACTTTAATTTTTTTAAGAAACAAAGTCTTTATTTTTTTTTATTCTTTTGGAAAAATCTAAAAAAAAAACATTTCTCTAAAGTTGAAATGAAAATTAAATTTAAAAAAAAAACATGTGTGCGGTAAAATAGAAAAAACACAATAATATATTATATTTCTCATTTTACAAAAAGATACATTAATATTTTCATTTTATAGAATAATTATTTTTTAAATTAAAACAAGAACTTTTGACTTGATAGGAGTAATTTAGTTTTTTCCAGTTTTCTATTCAAGGAGGTTATGTCCTAATTTCATACCGTAAGGGGGTCGTGTGCAAAATTTCAAAACCACAATGGGGTTATGTGCCTAATTTCATACCATAAGGGGGTCATATGCAAAATGTCAAAACCACAAGGGAGTTATGTACCTAAATTCATACCATAAGGGGGTCATGTGCAAAATATCAAAACCAAAGGGAGGTTAAGTGCTATTTACCCTATTAATATTGTATGTTAATTTTTAGATTATTTTGTTAAATATAGAAGTAAAATACTATGAAAGTTAAAAAACAATAATTTTTTTATGTTAATGGGTCTAGCGGATCTAGGGGATTAGAATCGGTTAATTATGGTATGGGTTGGGGCGGTCTGAGTTTAAGCTGAACCGGATTGGGGCGGGTCTGGGTCTAAACTGAACCGGATTGGGGCGGATCTGTGTTTTATATAGTTTTTGCGGGTCGGGTCTCGGGTTTAGGCACACCCGGCCCATAACTGACCCATTGCCATCTCTACCAATTTATACTATTTTTATCTCATTCGAGTGCCACAATTTAAAACAAGATAATCATAACATGTGTCTCTTGACTTGTAAATATCAGATTGTGGTGCATCATAAACTATATTTTTGCACAAAACGAATACAATGTAGAGAAAATTCTGTGGAATTGAGAAGATCATGTTGAATTTAACATCATAAGGGTAGACGTGTAAGAAGATTTATGGTTGAGACTTGAGAGGATGGTTGTAATTACCCAAAATTTTTTTTTTCTTCGTAATTTGACCTTACCTCATGTGGTGACCGTAATTTACTAGACCGTAATTTTAGTTTAATCTTATTTTAAACAGTTGATAAACTCTTACGTCTGATAAGATGTTTTAAGAGCCGATAAGCTGTTATATTTTCTTTTTAAGATCAATTTTTAAAGTGTTTGGATAATGAACTTATTTCCTAACATCTTAGCCAAATACCCTCTTAGTAAATCTTATATATAAAAAGGAACATATTTTGAACTAAAACCTAGACCTAAACCTAGGGGCAAATTAGGAAATTCATATTTTCTGGTCAGTTTTTTTTTTCCTGCTTTTTTCATACAAGTTAATGTCAGTTTTTTGTTTTTCAGAAGAAACTAACTCACACAATCCGACTCAAAAAAACCGCTGGCATCTCCATCTCCCCCACGTTCCTAAATCCTAATAAGGCCTATTTATGAAAAATAAAGTGTTATTTAAAATCCAAAATATGCAATCGTTGCGGGTTGTATTCACTTCGAATTGTTTGTCCGACGCTTGAACATACAAAAGCAGTTGGAATAGATATATATTTGCACGATGAAGCACAACTGCTCATGTTTTCTTTAACTGCTCCTCTTTTCTCTCATGATGGAAGATGGGGACAAATTGATGCGATCTCTTGAGTATCATAAGATTTCTTTACTGAACGTAAGAAAACTCTTCTTTATTATTTCTCTCTGCATTCTAAAACCCTAGCACAAGACGACTATTTAAATATAAGAAAACCCTAGAATCCTAATCTAACTAAAAAAGATAATTACCTAAACTAATAAAATACTTAATAATTCTCCTAACCTAAACACACGGCTATGTATATAATAAACCTAACAAACTATTCTAATTAATTAATAATAAAAATACTAACTATCTAATAATTAAACGATATATTAATATATATCGTATCAAACCACCCCTCTTGAAATGAACCTTGTCCTCAAGGTTCGAGTCAATTGGTCCCTCTCCTTTGCGTTTCCACCTATGCTTGACTTCATCGATTTGTTCATCGACTTGCTTCCGAATTAACTCCAAAAAACACGATGAAAAATCGAGCTCTTTTCCAAAGATGAACCTATCTGCCCGACTTAAATTTCTCAATCTCTTTCCCGACAAATCGACCTTCTCAATTGCCTTTTCATATTTTATCTCCTTCACAATCAATATCATGCTTTTATTTTTCTCAGTCGTCTTTACAGATCCGGCCTCATTCAAAGTCACCAAATCTTGTTCGTCTCCTTTCTTTTGCACACCATGGAAATCTCCCAATATCCACTGTAGTTCTTCATTCTCTTCCTTAGTTAATTCCTCGTCTTCGTCCCAAATCACCTCAAGTGAATCCGATAATTCATCTTTCGGCGAACTCACAAAAAATTGGGGTTCTTTGAAAAAATCACCGTCGTCCTCTTCCTCTTCCTTTTGCGGTAGGCTTGGCATTGGCGGCGGCGGTGGATCTTCGAAAAAGTTATCGTCGTCCTCGTCCTCTTCCTCCGGCGATAGGCTCGGCGACGGCGGTAGTGGTGTTGTTGGTTGGCGGTGGCGGTCTCTTCGGCTCTTATGTTGGCGCCGTCCTTGACTTTGTTCGAGCATCTTTTGGAGACCAATCCGTATCTCCTCCACGGATTTTTCCAATAGCTCTAAACGTTTTCTCTCGGACGACATAATTTCGCAAAGTGTTGATGTAATCTCAACTTTGCTCCAGCGTAGCTTTGATATAATCTCTGCCATGCTAACGAAGCGTTGGTGTTAATCGCAACTTCGCTCTGATACCAATTGATGCGATCTCTTGAGTATCATAAGATTTCTTTACTGAACGTAAGAAAACTCTTCTTTATTATTTCTCTCTGCATTCTAAAACCCTAGCACAAGACGACTATTTAAATATAAGGAAACCCTAGAATCCTAATCTAACTAGAAAAGATAATTACCTAAACTAATAAAATACTTAATAATTCTCCTAACCTAAACACACGGCTATGTATATAATAAACCTAACAAACTATTCTAATTAATTAATAATAAAAATACTAACTATCTAATAATTAAACGATATATTAATATATATCGTATCACAAATATGGCTAGGATGTATATTTATATTGTTAGAATCCGAGAGGATTCTAATTTCGGGTTTTCAACACGTGTGTGAAAACCGTGTATAAAAACTAGGGAAGTTTCCTTAGTTCTTTAAACTCTTATTTTGTCATGAATTTATTTAAT